TCACGGATCAAGTTTGGTGTCTTTTTATAAGAAAAACAATGGGGTTTTGGTTACACCGTTCGTCGGTCAAGGTTATTTTGGCGGTAGAGACGCGTTTCAGTGGTCGTTGCCGTAGTAGAGAGGTTAATACCGTAAACTTCAGAAAGTAACGACCCTCGTTACTTTCGGAATTAGTAGCCTTCGGGGCTCGTTACTTTCGAGGGGAGAGCAAAACACGTTATATAAAGTTGATAGGACTGAGCTCTTTTTATGAACTAAGAGACGGAAATCCCTAAAAACAGTTCTTCCGTTCCATATTCAATCTGCGTTGGGGTGGGCTCTTCATCACTGTACCGTGTTGTCAGTAGTCAGCAGGAAGGCTTGTCAAATACCATAAACTGTTTGTAGCTATATTAGTCTGCGGTAACAATTTCTCAGTGCGATGGAGGAGTTTTAAATTTAAATGTAAAGAAACGTTCCTTTTAATATCCTGTCGAAAATAATATTAATTTAAATCAAAGTTTGCTATAGTACGTTCCTGTTACAGTGTGTACTAGTACTTGATTAAACTTCGATGGGTGGGTTTTGTTAAAAGTTGTGTTCATAACTGGGATGATCGATCATTCATGTCTTAAGAACTTTCTACGCAGTTCAAATTTAATACATATTTCATATAGTCATCTGCATTCTTCACCCTCTATGGGTATATTACGAACTAACAAGGTGACCAGCTCCCAGATGGCTTGATAGCTTAGTTGGTAGAGCACTGCACCGGTTTCGCAGAGGTCAGGGGCGGGTTCGAATCCCGTTCAACTCTAATTTTTATTTCATTATCTTCGGGTGTTATTGCGGTGATCATTCATGTCTTAACGTCTTCCTCCGCAGTTCAAATTTAATATATTTCATCAATTTCGTAAAGAGACAACACTAGCAAAATATACAGCACTGATGTAGATGGAAAATCTGCTTCAACTCGCTGCAAATACTGTTCCTGTCAACATTTGCAGACAACATGTACGATCTCTCTACTCAAGCGAAAGGTTTTCAAAAGAAGAAGGCTCTGTTAATACGCAGGGTTGTTCGTCAGTGAAGGTTCCATTTTTTGCAGTACTTAAAACTATTCGGGATGCCGGAGGCCAATGGGCTAAAGAGTTAAAATAAACTATAAAGCAGTTTTCGTTAAAACGATAATAAAAAAAAGCATTAGGCCTAAGAAAACAAGGGACGAGAAATCATACCTGTCTATCAATGTATCCGCCAGGGGCGTAGCTAGGCTTTAAGCCATTAAGCACGGGCTTAACAAGAATTTCTGTAAATAATTTTTTTTAGTAAACGTAGCCAAAAGGCCATATTTTCTTTTTCTTACTATTCACTAGGGAATCACCGCTATATGAAGGTTTTATTTTGAAAACAAAATAATGACTTTCAGTCTTATACATGAAAAAATGCCTTGAGGCAATTAACAAAGCAGAACTTTGAAATAGTTTTGCGCGCGAAAATTTAGTTGATGTACTGTTGTTGTTGTTGTTTTGTTGGACGTTGGCAAAATTTGATATATAATTTCCGCTGTACAATTTGGGCTTAACTGGAAAAAATGACAGGCTCGAGGGCCGAATGAAAATCAATGAGTTTAGGGGAAAAAAGGATAAATACTTCAAAATCTGAAGGAAAAGAAAAAGAAAAAGGAAACAATAAATTCCTGCGTGGCAGCGATAAGACAAGGAGAAACACAAAACACCAAAACAAGCAGTCGTTAACTGAGAACAAGGAAAAAGAAACAATAGTTCTTATTATAAATAAAAAACGGGCTGTATGCGGGATACTCCCCCGTGTCCTGCAGTCCATCGGGGGAAGGGTTATTCGACCCCCAGGCCATTTGAGAATAACCGCTATAATAACATATGGTGATTCGAACCCGGACATCCCTGAATCCCATGGGCAGTGAGCAAAATTAGTGAAGTGTATACTATGCTAATCTAGGTATTCTGACTGACAGCTTATACGTACTCTGCTCGTTACATACAGGCTTGAATAACTTCCGCCGGCCCAATTTCCAGAACAAATCCAATTCTTTCGCCAGCAAGAATTCTACCAGCGCAAAGTCGAATTGTTTAGCAGACACAGAAGGGAATTTGAGCAGAATTTTGAAAGCTAACCGCCTGAGAAAACTAGTGGAACCAAGTTAAGGCTTACATGTAACTGATATAAGCTCTAGCTAACCGTATACAAATGTAGTCCTAACTTGACTCCACTGCTCTCTCTCGAGCGAATGTCCAGAGGTGTTATCTATAGTTTCCTCTGCCTGCGCCAGCGATGAATAATAATAATAATAATAATAGCAATAGCAATAGCAATAGCAATAGCAATAGCAATAGCAATAGCAATAGCAATAGCAATAGCAATAGCAATAGCAAT